CTCCTTCTGCCCCCACCCGCTATCACTTCACTATCAACCTTGCGTACCCCCATCCCCCCGCACAACATCCGCACCTCTCCTCCCATCACGCACTTTGCTTTTTTCTTCTACCACTCCTCTTGAACCGCGCGTCTAAAAAATCTTTCGCGCGGGTATTACCGACTGGACACCCTCCTCACGAATCCGACCTTCCCGACGCCACCCACCTCGCTCGCAGCCTCCGCCCAAGGAGTCGTTTTCGGGAGGCTGGTGGAACGAGATCACGCACCGCTTCCCCTGGATGAAGGAGTGCGCGCCCCCTTCCAGGCCTACACAGACGCTGTTCACGTGTGTCAATCCTGGGGTCGTTTCTGCGATCAAGGCGAAGTGGGATTCCGACAATTACCCTCACTTCTTTGAGATGGTGGCCTTTAGCAATCTCGCAGTCCTTGCTGGGGCATGGGAGCGTAGTAGGGATGATTTCGATGATGAGCTTGGAACCCTCTGTGAAAAGCTCGAGCTGAGGAAACACGAATACGCGAGGGAATGCAGGGAATTAGGTGGTAGAGCGGCAAGGATCGAGCAGATTTTCCTCAATATATGGGGGGTAGATGATTCGCACTTGGAAGGACGAGTGCCCGTAGTACACCTCGGCTCCCCCAGCTCCCAGGGCACCCCCGCGACACGTTGTCACGATCTCGCAATCGAAGAGGAGGAAAGAGCTGAGATGGAGCTGGCGATTGCTGCCATTACAGCTGCCATGCAAGACTCCCCGCTCATGACCGGACGCGGCAGCATTGACGCTTCCGAACGCGATCAATACACAGCCTTTGCCCCTCCAGCATCCGCGTGCTGGGTTGAGCACACCTCCACGGGGTTTAGACATGCAATCTGGAAGATGGACACATTCAACCATCTTGCACCTATCTTCGTCCGGGCGCTTCAAGTCCTGGGGGGCGTTAGTGATGAGCAGGTCAAGCAATGCAGGGCGCAGATACTAAAAGGAAAATTGAAGTATTGTGGGAAGGTCGCCCCGCTGGATCCGCAGGACCTGAAGTTTCCCCCTATGCGCGATCTGGACCCGGATAAGTGTGGAGAGACTAACTCGGGAATGTGGCAGAAGGTTATTAGACAGGATGGGAAGACCGATCTAAGGACCCTCAGAAAGATCTGGAGTGTAGGGAGACCGTACTTAAAGTGTAAGTGCAAGAAAGAGAGAAACAAGGATTGTGGGGACACCCCCCTCTGGTTCGATCACGCCATCTGGTTCCTATTGGCACATCCTGATGTCCTGTTCCCAACCCTGTCCTCGATCAAAGTACGCACCTCAATGTTCATTCACTATTTGCGCACCAACTAGAGGGATGGGGTGCTGGCCGCCATCGGATTCCACTTTATCAGGGATCTAATGATGGGAATCGTAAAGGAGCTTGAGGCGGATATTACATTGAACGCAGAAGGGGTGCTCAGGGAGGACCGACTCTGGAGCTACCCGATCCCCGCCATGCTGGCACGCATCATACTCCCCACTCGGAATCCCGAGAGACCCTCGAGGATCCTGCTCAGCTCTCCGCGGGTTGCGGCACGAAAACGGGGCGGTAGGCCACAGGTCCCCGGGCATACCACCCTCAACTTTAGGAGAGCCCAACTTGCGAACGATCCCCCTCCCGCTCCGCCTCCTCCGCCTCCTCCTCCTCCTCCGCCTCCTCCTCCCCCTCCCCCCCAGCAGCAGCCCATGGCCGTAGCCGCCGACATCGACCCACCTGGAGGCATACCCACACCAAGGAACCATACTGCCAATGTGCCTCCATAAGCATGCCAGCAGCTGCCGCCATTGGCCACATGGATGCCTGTCCTTACCTCGCCGCTGCCCTCGGCGCAACCCCCCCTGATGATCATGCGAGGCCTCACCCCCCCGCCGGTAATCCACATTTCGCCAAGCGATTCCGCCCAGTCAACGCTCACCCAGCCCGGAAGGAAAAACAGGAAGGGCGCCGCGGGGAGGGGCAGGGGTAGGGGCGGCACTACTGCCGGCAGGCGCTCAGCGAGAGCCTAGGCTGGCGATGCTGCCCCTGTCTCTCCATCTCTCTCACTCTCTTTCTATCTCTCTCTCTCTCTCTTCCCCCTCTTCCCCAACCTTTTTCTTTCTCCCCCACTCACCTTTCTTGCACCGGCACACTTCCGTTTATTTTCAGGTTACTTCTCGATTCGCTGACCTGGCGAGTTCTTACGACTTCATGATCGATCGGCTTTTTCGTACCAGTACGGCATTGCACCATGGCCCCCCCCTTTTTTTACCCCCCCCGACACGTACTCTTTATCCTGTATCACTGTGAATTGATGCGCAGGATCCGGACGAATGGTTGAATGCTCCTGGCCAGATGATCACGCTTCCTAATGGCAGGAAGGCATGGAAGAGGCAGAAACTCGACTGCGACACGTTCCTGCATCTGAAGTACACCAGCCACTTGATGGAGCCTCTTTCTGTCAGGAGGTTGGTAAATGAGGTGCTCGGCAGGGTAATCGGGGATGACACGACGACATGGCTAGAGCGCGTCAGGATCAGGTGGACCTACAATCCGAAGATAGCCTCCAGACTGTGCAGACCAACGGAGACGTTCTGCGAATTCGACGTGGCACAGTGGATAGAGAACTACCATCCCGATCAATGCCCCTGCAGGACACGAAGATACATGGACATGCGCAGCAACTGGTCGATAGAGTTACTCGAGAGTGAAGGCTGCACGCACGTCATTACGATGGACACATCAATCACCGATAACCCGCTGCTACAGGGCATCATCGGAGCCGGCCTCAACCATATTCCATGCATGGCCCTGGACGTGGAGGAAGCAAGCGTCGAACTGGGGAACTGTTTGGACGAGCTATTCGCACGAGTCATGGAGCTAAGGGACCTCAATGCGTCTACCAAATCGCGCGCACACACACACACACACACACACACACACACACACACACACACACGCACACACACACACACACACACAGATGGCAATCCTGCGCGCGGGCGAAGGCGCAGCGCGCACACACACACACACATACACTTAGCTGTCTTTCTCTCTCTCTCTCTCTCTCACACACACACACACACACACACACACACGCACACACACGCACACACACGCACACACACATTCACACACATATTAAAAGCCCCCCCCCAAAAAAAACATATAATTTTTTCCATTCCTTGATTGTTTCCTTAGAACAAAAAAAATAAAAAAATAGAAAAATGTAAAAATGAAGAATACAAAGAACTGCCAACCAAAAATTCCCCCCCAAAAAAAAAACTTTGTTTTGAATTTCTTTTTGAATTTCTCTTCTTCACCTTTTCTGTTTTTTATTTTTTATAATTATAAAAACTTATCTGTTTCCAAAAAATAAATATGGGGTTTTTACCCATTATTTAATTCAGGAAAAATGCGGCAAATTCACGTCCGCGACGCGGACGAGGTCGGACGCGGACGCGGCCGTATATACAGCCGCCCTCCAAGGTCGACCCCGCGGATGTGTCCGTGGGTGTTTCGTAGCACTCACCCTCCCTGTTGAGGGTGCTCCACATCATCACTCCTTGAGCACTAGTTGCTACGAAGTTGACAATGGGTCTCCCATCACGTCGATCGCAAGACTTCCTGCCGCCGGACAGGATCGCAGCCCCTGTGTGGTAAAATGGATCTTGTATGTCCTGAAGACCGGCCACAACGTCAATTGTCGTCTCAACCACCGTATCCATTGATGCGACTTCGTTCTCGGAAGGCCAAATCACGGGCACTGAAGGGGGGTTTTCCTTGAAGTGTGCGGTGTACGCCTTCCATGTAGGGCTTCGAAAAATGTCGAAGGCTAGTTGGTTGTTGTACACGAAGCGCAACCACAACTTCCTGTGTTTGGCAACCCAGTCAGACCTGGACACCTCTTTTATCGTTGGCTGCCTTATCTTCTTCCCTGCTGCATCATGGCACCGTTCATATCCTTCCTCTTCCCTAAATTCGAGCCACCCTCACCAACGGGCAGCTTGCCTGGCCGCTGCGAGTACGTACCCACGTCCTCCCCGCCACACTCTCCCTCACCATCCAAATCGATGATGTCATCGCCCTGCTGCCGTGCCCCAATTGCGGCCGTGGACGCTGCCCTCACCTCATGAGGACCTCCGTGTCCACCCAAGCATCGTGTCCACCCAAGCATCGTGAAGCTCCTCGTACTTGCGGATTCGTTCCAACCACTTTCTCTCGAACGTGTACCAGCTCGTGTAATGCATGTCCATAAGAGCTTCATCAGTCAGCTGCGAACAACCCTTCACGCTGCGAAAATGTCGCGTCGCCCCATGCCTGTTCCGTTGCCACTCTTTCATGAAGAACACGCACCAAAGGATCCTCTGACCACGGAGCTTCTTAGAAAGCTCCTGGCCAACAAGCACATACTGTTCGAATTCTTCATGCTTGCCTGTGTGTCGTCGCTGGCCTGGATGAAGGTGTTGACTTGCCTCTTCGGCATTTTCGCAGTGCCCTATTAACGCCTACCGAACCGCCGTTGGCAAGCCTTCCGTTACCCCGACACCCATTCCCCCACCCGACGAGCAGTGAGCTATCAACTCCCCGAACCTTGCAAAGGACCCCCCCACCCTTCAGGCAACCCTCCGCCAAGTCCCCAGACGGGGACCCCGAGCCGGAATCCCCCACCGGCCCCAAACCTTCCAGCCGACGGGCCGGTCCGCAGCATCAGGGTGCCGCCAAGGTTCCCTCCCCGACCCCAAATCGCCGCGCCGCCCCTGAATCGCCGCTCTCCACGCCTTTCAGCGCGCGCTCAAAACTTTCAGCACACACTCAAAGATTTCAGCGTGTGCTAATAAAACTCAGCGCGCGTCAGTGCCGGCCCCGTGAACGTGACCGGTACCGGTCACCTGCCCATGACCGGCCGGTCATCGGGACTGAAATCCGTGAACGACCGTTCACGGTGGCCTTCACAGGTTTTTCGCCCAAGGGGACGGCGGTACGGTCGGGATGGGGGCGGGAGGGGGGTGGTGCGGGGCCCTTCTACACCCCCGCACCTTCA